AGTCTTGATGGGTTGTACTAAACCTTAGTTTACTTATAGCTAGGTAGACAATTCATGCTTCATTTTGATAGTCCATGCTTAATATTGCAAATTATATTATCCTCTTGATTTATATGTGTTTGTAGCCACATTTTGATTATGATAAGTTTTCCCCATTAATTGAAGACTCTTGGTTTAGTTGCATATGCTTAGTGGTGAGTTCCATGCCCTAAGCCCCCTCTTTCTATCTCTAAACCCTATTTAATTTAGTGTTAATTTCAATTGCATGTTCACATTAGTTTAATCAATCAATCAAACTTCTTTGTAATCTCACGTCCATTAATGTCATGTTAGCTATAATCCCTGAGGACGATCCCTTCTCACTTTATACTTCCGTATAAGTGTTTTGTGGCTTCTATAAATGTAAAAATTGATGCCCATTTTGCACTCTTAAGTTTAAATATTTAAACACATTTTGTGGTACACACCCAAGTTGCATCATCGTGGCATATATCCATATATATAAATTCATATCGTATCCAAAATAATAAAATACACTATCCGCCATAGTCTTTCAATGGCATGTTATCCACATATAAATCTGTGACCTGACACGAAATATGAGACAAAACTTATTAGCCAGCTCATCCATAGTATGCCCCCATATCCTGACAATGGTGCATAAATCCGAAACCATATTCTGACAATGGTTCCCAATCCAATAAATGATGCAAGCATGTATGTACATGAAATAATCCAGAGACAAACATGATATTAATTATACAAATGTCCATTGTATTTATTTAAGCAATATATAACAATTCTAAGTAGCATGTAATTAACTTACAAAATAAGTAATTAACTTACATCTCAATTAAATTGCATAAACCTCTACGTTATTGCATATTATTGTATATTATGCATTATGGGAATTAATTAGATCCATTTAAATCATCCAATAGGTGCTAAGTAGTTTTGGAACCCCCGAAAATAAAATAAACACACCATTAAACCCATTCTGCCAATTTTCCAAAAAGGGAGCCGTCTTTCTTTAACAAGGGAGACGGCTCTCTTCCTAAGAACCGCAAAATTCAAAAGGAAGCCAGCTCTCGACCTACTGCCCTTCATCTTCTCCGACTTTAGCCACTTTAAATTATTCCGATCTCCTCTGTTAAAGGTCCTAAACATCCGTACTAAGTCCCAAACGATCCTAATTAATTATTTAAAGTCATTATGCATTATTAGAATAGTTTTAAACAAATTTTCATGCATCAAGATTCAGGATAAAGTAAACAAATATACAAAAACATGCACACTGTTTTAAATCTGATTAAGCATGTAAACATAATCGTATTTACTGTATAATCATCCTAAAATTGACCTAGGTATATACTGAATATGAAGCCAAAGGAGAAGAGTAGAACAAGAAGTTGCCTTCGTGAGTTTCAAACCGAAAACCCGGATCTTCTTCTCTCAGTTCTATTTTCTGTTTTTCGGTGACCTCTGGTTGCCTTTGCAGCCTTCTGCTGCTTGAATATTAGCCCACGAATAGCCCTCCTATCCTTCCTTGACCGACGTCTTTCTTTCTCTCTCTAAAACTCTTGGCCTCCCTTCTCTCTCTATGTGCTATCTCACGTAGTAATACAGTCCCTCGTAGACATCTAATATGTGTATATATATATATATAAGGTACATAATACCCTAATCCTAGTTATACTACACTTCTGCCTTAGAGGAAAAGAAAAGGAAAAATAAAATAATTATACTAATAAATATACTAACTATATAACATCACGTATGTATATATATATATATACCCATTAATAAATGAATAATGATATATAACTGATGCAACCCTTGGATGGACCGACCATTCGTAAGCCCAACCTAATTCAAAACAGTGAAACCTCCACCCAAAATAAAATTAATCCTAAACACAAAGCCTAATTCAAATATTCCATTTAATAAAAAATTAAAATGGACTTTACAATTAAGCCCAATCCCACGCCCGGACCGGGCGGGACAAACGAGTGTGGTAAATGGCTTGGACCCAAGCTCCCCTAGGTCTTCCCCTTTTTAAAAACTTGGGTACCCATGGCCAAACCCAAATTCCAAACTTGGGCTATATAAACTCTAATTGGTTTCAGTTTATTTTCAATGTGGGACAACCACTTCCCACATTTTGCATGCCCATTTAAGCTTGTCAAATACCTTACTTTGGAGCTAATTTATCATTCATTCAGAAACGGATTTGAGAAAGTAAATATATCACGTTCATTTCCTTACGGAGAGGAACACGTTTCTCTATAGATCCGCAAGAAATTCTTAGTGGGGCCTACACAAAATTTCGCCCAAAGTTTCTATTTTGTATGATCCGTTTCCAACAGTCTATCTTTCCGAGTTACCCCTTTCAACACCTAAACCATCTTCTTCCTCTTTTTTTGTTTTTTTTTTGTTTTGTTTTGTTTTTTTTTTTTTTTTTTTTTTTTTGTCTCATGAACCCTCAATGTTTCTACAAAATATTATTTTCTTTGAATAGCCATGGATGTTGCTGCTATTGTTCCAGAGCTTGTTGTCATGTGGGCTCGCGTTTTCGACTTTCAGGAAGTTTGGTTTGAGTGTGATGTTAATGTAAGGGTTAACTTCAGTTACACCCCCTGTGGTTTGTCCAATCTTCAAGGAGACCCCCTCACATTTGTAAAAATTCAGTCAGACCCCCTGTCAGACATTGTCAAAACAAATAAATAAATGTAATGACTAATTTACCCTTTTGTCATTTTCCTATATACTTGACCAAACAACATATTTTATAAGTCCCACCAAGATTAGTTTTATCTGTTTGAACCAAATAGTCAACTAATCTTCTCTCATCCCTCATATCTCAATAGCAAAGTCAGCTCACAAAATTAGACTCATTGCTTTGCAGTTCAGTTTAGTCTCAGCGACTCAATGTCAAAGTTTCAGCAACCTACTGATATGAGCATAGAGCTTGAGAGACTAGGAAGAAAACGGAGATACATTGACCCAACCGTGAGCTTTAGTTTCGACGAACTTCAATTTCAGTAGACTACGGTCTGGTGAGCTTTAGTTAGATGTACAACTTCCGATACCAAGATCGTTGAGGGTACAAATTGAAGTGGACGAAGTTGCAGCAGTCACCGGCGAGTTTTCCGCAATTATTCTTTGAATTCAGACACCCAATACAGGAGAATGAGTACCAGACAGAGTATGCTCTCAATCAGATCCGCGAGCTTGATGGATATATATGGTTGAATTGATGATTTTATTAGATTATTTCAATGATATATTGATGAGAATGGTTGAATTGATGAGTTAAATTGAATTGTTGTGGGTCGGATTAGAAGAAACGGTGGGATGGTGGTTATGAAACTCAGAAATTCTCTATTTCCGCGACCTCATCGGCAGCAAGAAATTCGCAATCCGAGCTAGCGAGGATGACCCAGGCCTCGAATATGTCGACCGGATCCTCGCCGTTGTCAACACACTCCTCGTCGCTGAGAGTCGGTTCAACAACCTGGCATCAGAGATGAGCTTGAAGGCTTTGTCGGCGAAGGCGAGCTTGTTCCTATTAGGGGGGTTCAAGAGGAGTGCGAGCCGGTGGTATTGAGTGGCAATCTTGAATATCTTGCTGCCAATGAGTCGCGGCTGGTGAGGAGCTTGTTGGCGATGAAGATCATCGCTCGACCTCTGTTGCTGCTACTGTTGTGGGTGCTCCATTATCTTCTCTCTGTAATAAGTGTTTTTTCTGATTTATTTTCTTTTGGATTTGTAGATAAAACGTTTACCTAAGGTATCGTTTGGTGGAACAGGCTTGTCATTAACAGAGGCGTTGAGTTTTCATCAACGACACCGTTTATTTCTTATCTAATATATAGACTATAATCAAGTCTATAGCCAAACATGACCTTGGAGGGCAATCTGGGCATTTAATCTAATTTTTTTGTTGACATCAACAAAATGTATTTTTGACCAGCTTTGATTGTTGACTGAGAGGGGAGATTGACGTGTGTCAGAAAAAGTAAGGGATTTGACTGAATTTTTGCAAACGTGAAGGGGATCTCCTTGAAGATTGAACAAACCATAGAGGGTGTAATTGAAGTTAAACCCTAATGTAATTGTGGAAGCTCTGAAAGTGGGTTCTCGGCGCCCTTCTGTCATCGCCTCATGCATCTTTGATATTTGCATTGATCTAGACCGCTTCTCGTGGGTAAAGATCTCTCATGTGCTGCGGCAAGGTAATCAGGTAGCCCATGCCCTTGCATCTCTCTTCATCTTGCTTGCGTGCCGATTTTGTCCTCTCTCAAATTCTAGAGGAGGTGCTTTAGTTTGTGAATTTGGACTATTGTCCTCTTGTTTGCTGGTGTTTTCTTCTATTTGCCAGGAAATTAAAAAAAAAAAAATTAGGTCTAACATGCCATACACAGAACTGTTAATCAAGGACTGCCCCGAGGACACATTATTACACGTCACACACAGTTGTCCATGAATGAGTGGGCCTCAAGGGACAGGTAAGTGGTGGGTTTGGTTGTAGTAATAAGTAATCCCCCCTGTATATTATTCCTTGGATCTACTCCAACCGGCCATTAGGGTTTGTTCAATTCCAATCATTCTCACTTACCCCTTTCAACGCCCGAGCCGTCGTGCTCCTCATTTTCTTTTACTCTATGTTTCTACAAAATACTATTTTCTTAAAACAGCCATGGATAATGTTGCTGCTGCTATTTAAGCTCAGTTTTCATGCTATTCTTGAATTTGCATTTTATTTAGAATAAGGAGATCTTATAACGCCAACATATATTAGCGGATGTAGTCCAACCACCCCGTTTAACATTATTTAGCCCATACAAAATTGCTTTACATTTCCAACTAGAAGAAAATTACATACATCCAATTCTTTTCCAGCTAATAGTCAGATACAAATCAACTAGTTCAGCAAAGCACTTGAAAACTGATGCATCAAATATGCATAGGAGGACAATAATAATAGAGGCGCGCAAAAATAATAATGCAATCAATTGAGCATTTGACTATTTCAGCCCTTAAACAAGTCCGATATTATCTCATTCAGGTCGAATATTAAGCATGAGAAAACTGACCTACGAAGAAATGATACAATGTACACAAATACGAAATTTTGTCCTTCAGTTTATTATTGGAAACAAACATAATTAATATGTACAAACTTCACACAATCACACGAGGAGGAATATACCAACCAGGCCAGATTTCTTAATGAGGCTACAGAGTCATCGACATCATTTCAACTACTCAGCTTCCCCGGAACCCTCAGAAGTGAGGGTTCGACCTTCACTTCCAATCAAGAATGTCTAGTAGCCATAGTACCTCTTCCTTAGAGTTGGCAGCGTCACAGAAATCTATTTCGATACCAAAAACATCAATGACCCCTTCACTACCATTGTCCATGAAGAGAAGGGAGATCCATGCCCGGATACCAGATACAAAGGGGTGTTCAGGAGAGAAATCAAGGTAGTCAAATGCAAGTGCCCTATAGGCAGTCCGATCTATATAATCAAATATTGATTTGTTGATTATGCAAGCAGCTCTATTGGAATCCTTGCGTTCTACAAGCAATGAGACACTGACTGTCTGGCACAGTGGAATGGTGAATTTTGGCTCCACAGGTAGCACCATTTTATATTCTGGGCCCTCCAGATGGAACCTTAGCATGTCACTAACTCCAGGTGGCGGTATCCTGATCCCATTCTGGAGAGCAGGGCCCGGGACAACTTCTGAGAAGATTGACCTCTCTTCTGTCCAAATGTCGATGTAGAACTCCAAGTCATTAAAGGACAGTCGTGGTGGAAGGAACGACCGACAACGCTGGCGTTTATAGAAAGTTTGGAATAGCTTGTGGTAGGTTACAGTGGGAGAGGATGGTCGCTTGCAGATTGAAGGCCATCTCTTGGCACATACGCATTTCCAAAAGTAATCATCCCGGGCTATCTCTCGCCATTGCTTGCATACCAGCATACATGCAGCGAGGTCAGTGCCTTCAAGTAGCGGGAATACATCCTTCAAAACTTCTTCATATGACATTGTCAGGTCAAGGATGAGTATTACAAGGGAATAACAAAAACTTAGCCACACTATTTACAATTTTTTTTTTTTTTTTGGGTAAAATGGAGAGCTTTAAAGTGGTCAGCTCACATGGATTCCCTGCAAAAAACACAAATGAGATTCAACTTCAGAATTTTCACTGCATATATATTTTTAAGATTGACAACATAACTCAAACATTAATATTTTTCTTCAAAGATATGAAAAAAATATAAAAAATTAAAAGAAGTGAGAACTTTGTCATCACCTATTTTATATTTAACTTTCTAAAATCATTTATAATAATTTCATCCCACGTTAATTTTGGTCATTCTCTCTGTCTCTTTTTCTTTTCTTTTCTTTTATTTATTTCTTGTTAAGTCACCATCTCCATTTCTTAGCTTCTATAAAAACTAATCTTCTTTTTTCTGGAGCATTTATAGGTCTTCGATGCATGTGTTCATACCTAGGTCGACTCTCTTATTTCCTCATGATGGGTGTCACTCCTCACGCCTCCATTAGTAACCCTATATCTTCTAGTCATTTCAAGAATCCATCTTAACCTTCTCAATACTGCTACATTAAAGGCATTGTTCTTGTTTCTTTTTTTAAAGCCCAAAACTCAGCTCCATATAGTATAGTTGGCTTAAAAACAGTTTCACGGAATTTTCCTTTCGACCTATTTGGTATTCTTTTATCGTAAAAGATGCCACTATATTGTCTCTTACATCACTATGTATCTCTCTATCATTTTATATTATCAATCTTAAATATCGAAAAAGGCTATGTTGACTAAACCTTTGATTTTGAAATGACTAAAATATTATCAAGATCTCAATCTTTATTGAATATGCTCTATTTTAGTTCAATTAAAATCTTAAGCTTTCTTATTCTAAGTCACTTCTCCACATTTTAATTTCTATTGCCAGGTTTTCTTTAGAAGCATCTAATAAAACGATATCATCAGCGCAATCGCATGCACCATGAAATGTCTATTCGGGAGTAGCACTGATGCTTAATTCAATCCTTCGCTTATAGAAGACTCACTAGTTTCATCATGTATAGTAGAAACTCTAATTTCTGTGTTTGCATACACATTCTAAATAATCTTTATTATTTGTATTATTTGTAAGGTGCACCAAATTATCTCTTGAGACCCTATCATACACTTTTTCTAAGTGAAAAAAAACCAAATGTAGATCTCTTTGCTCACTCCTGCTTTCTTTAAGTAATTGCCTAAGCAAGTATACAACTTCCATCGTCGATCTCCCTAGCATGAAATCGAATTTGGTTATTTGATGTCGTGAGTCCTTCCTTAATCTTCATTCTATTACCCTTTTCCATATTTTCATTGTCTGTTACTACAGTTTGTATATGCCCTTTATTTCTGTAAATTGATACTACTGTACTTTCCCTGCACTCGTTCGGCATCATTCCTATTCCCTTTTTTAGAATGGTGTCAAACAACTTTGTTAGCCATTCAATTCTTACATTTCCTAATGTTCTCCAGGCCACTACAAGTAGTACCATCAGTGCCTACGGATTTATTATTCCCCATCTTTTTTAAGTCTGTCATCTATTTTTTTATTGGTTCGTTCTACCTCCTCTCTAGGGTATAATTCCTCATTTAGTAGATGTTAAATTAATGTTTTCAATTAGCTAATATATCTTTTTCTTCAGCTAATATTTTATTATATGTCTTTAATACATCGAATTTGATTAATATCTTTAATTGATTATACTCTTTGCCAACTTATAAACCACAATTTTTACCCTTTTTTTGTACCCCTAATTTTTCATACAAAACATTTAGTGAGTTCTACTTAGCTACTCTCACTATCTTCTTGGCTTTACATTTGAGTTTACATGGCTAAAAAAAGTAAAGAGAAAGTTTAAACCAAACAAAAAATTCAACTAAAGAAGTGTATTCAGCTCCATATTATGACCACCCCCGATTGCACACTTTCTATTACAAAGTAACGGACTTAATACAAAAGATCTCCTAGTTCAAACCAAGATCAAAACTATCTCAAGATCCATGCCTTGACCAGAAATTGCAAAACAACGGATGCCCGCAACATCAAAAACTTGTATATAATGTAGGTCAAAAATCCAGAACTTTATTGGATTGAAAACAACATGTGGTGTGCACACAAGCTTAGAACATAAAACTCAAAAATCTAAGACTGTTCAAAGGAGTAATAAAAGGAAATTCAATAGTCTTCCAAACCCTCCAAAAGAAAAATCTTTCTGTGATAAAGATTTGAACTTCATACTTGACATCCAGTGATGGCTGGATCCTTAGGCGGTCGCCTAAGGCTTAGGCCAATGGGAGGGCCCCACTCTGTACAATTCAGTTTATATTTATCCTATTTCAATGTTATTAACATTAGAAAAAGAAAAAAAATCTTTCATCCAATATTGTTTAGGGCTGCAAATGAACCGAGCTGTTCATAAACAGCTCGGGCTCGGCTCGCTAAGGGCTCAGTTCAGGCTCGTTCGATTAGTAAATGAGCTGAGCCCGGGCTCAATTTCCAGGCTCGTTTAGTAAACGAGCCAAGCCCGAACAACGTTGGTCTCGGCTCGTATAGGCTCGTGAACAAAGCTTAGGCTCGTTATGCCTTATTTGCCGAAAGCATCAACGGGGTGCCTTATTTGGGCTGTATAATTTAATTTGGGCTTGTCTATGTTATGAGCTTGATGTACATTATTCTTATATTTATAATATAAGTTTACCTACCAGATTTTTTATTTTTTATTTATATTTTTGTGAAATACTAATTAATTTTGAGAACAAGTATTTTTTTTAAAAATATATATTATTTTTATTAAATGAGCCGAGCCCGAGCTTTTTAAATCAAGACAAGCCCGAGCCCGAGCTCAAGTCTTTGAGCTCGTCACGAGCCGAGCCCGAGCCCGAGCAGACTTCGTAAACAACGAGCCAAGCCCGAGCAAACCCAAGCTTGGCTCGGCTCGGCTCATTTGCAGCCCTACTCCTATTTTCTCTCTTTACCTACTTTTTCTATTTCAATCTCCTATTTTTTCCCTCCCTCCCTCCCTCCCTGTTCATATTTTTTCCCTCCCTCCTCCATATTTTTTCCACTCATTAGTCTCTCCATCTCCTATTTTTTGTATTATCTCACTTTCTCATGTCGTATCACTATTTTTTCTACTCTCGCAAGAGAAGTTTTGTCAATGGGAAAGACCATATATATGGGGATGAAGGAATGAAATTGAGTCTGGTGTAGTGTAGTTATGAAACTAATGAATTCCCTAGCCCTACGTACCAATTAATCACTAATATATATATATATACGTTTTGCCACCAATCTCTTGTGCATGGGTTGACATTTTTCGTGGAAACAATTCATTGAAAACAACATCCCGAACCGGATGAGTCAACTAAGACCTTGAATTATCTCAAGAACTTCCAAAAGTTGAAGCCTCCGGAATTTACGAGAGAGCCTAACTGTAACGGGTGGGTACTTCGCGATCCGACCCAAAAGCCTAAGCTATTAGGTGGGGCTAAAACCCCGCCCATATATACCCAATCACTCTCCCATCCTGATCCGATGTGAGATAGGCTCCCCCTTGTTACACTAACCCACTAGAGGCGGAGAATTGGCTTGAACAAGTGATGAAGAAGTTCGAGTTGATTGATGACCAAATAAAAGATGCAGAGCAGCGCAAGGTAAGGGGTTAGATAAGGAGAGCACTGAAATTATTAGTGCAAACTCGATTTACATTATTAATGGCTATTTTAAATTTCCAACTAACTTATTTTGTCAAGGCAGAGAGAAAAATAAGCAATTTTGTGGTTATGATATCTTTGGACCGACTCACCTCATCCGATAGGTGACGCATGGGAGAGGTCAAGTGCACCAAAATGATGTAATTATAATGAACACGCAACCATACATCAAGTCTCGAGATGCAGTACCTATTACATGAATATGGAACACATTATACTGAGAACACAACACATGACACCATTAAATTGAGAATACAACTCGTGAACGTTTATTGTAATAATGTTGTGCGTGCATCAAAACAAGAGAGGATTTGAATCCGATTATGTGACCACTTCCATCAATCATGTGATGAATCTGATGCTGAAAGTTCACATTAGTGCTTACAATACGTCAATGGTTCAAGTCCTGCACATCTCCTTGTAGACCAGAGGACCCAGGATCCCACTATAAGATCATTTCCATCCACTGTGTCTTGATTTAAGTTAATATTAGTGCTCACAATAATTACTTTTTATGGGAGAAATTTTATTAAGGATGTAAGTTTAGTGGGAGCAACCTTATAATAGACCCTTTCTTTATGTAATGTGTTCAACCAATGTTTACATCTGCAATACATCCAAGTCACAATTTTTTTTTTTTTTTTTTTTGAAAAGATTTTATAAATACGCTGAAATGGGCAGCGCTCCCAAAACAAACGACGACACTAAAGTTTCAAGCTATCAACAAAATCCAAAAGTCAATCCACTGACATACAATCCCGCCCATTCACCCAAAAGAATAAAGAAGAAAGTATACTATACTTAATAGCCCACCCAAATAGGAGACTCCACACCCTCAAAGTATCTCCTATTTCTCTCTCGCCACAAACCCACCATATAAACAAGCGAGTGGCCCTCCAAGCATCTCTGACTTGGCTCTCCACTATACACCCTCTCTAAGTCACAAGCAAGTCAACCGTAGAATTTGAGAACACCCATGGAATACCAAAAGCAACCAACAAAATGATCCAAACATCCCTTGCCACCGAGCAATGAATAAGAAGATAGTTGACAAATTCCCCCGTCTCCTTACACATCTAGCACCTGTTTACCACAACTTGACTACTTCTTCTAAGATTATCAATAGTGAGGATGCTTCCCAAAGCAGTTGTCCACGAGAAAAAAGCTACCTTCAGTGGTGCTTTCGTCCTCCAAACAGCTTTCCAAGGAAAAACTAGGCCAAGAAACTCCACCATACTAAAATAGAAAGACTTGACCTCAAACACCCATCTCGAGGCACCCACCCACACCATCTCATCCATGCCCACCTCGACCACCATTTGGCTATAAATGAAAACCAAAAGATCTGTAACCTCCACTAGTTCCCAATCATGGAACTGTCTACGAAACCGTAAATCCCAAATCACCTCGACCAGCTCTGCCTTCTCTCCTGCCTGTTTTTTTCATCCTCGGCTGCCAGTTCAATTCCCTCTTCTAATTCCTTCTCAATCATATCATCTTCATTCATCAACTCCCTTTTCCAGTGGTCTCCACGAGACTTTTTCCTTTTCTCAAGTGCTGCCTTCACCTTGTCAATCATTTTAATTGCATCCTGGGGTGACTGGCTAAGTGGACCAGATCTCTATTCACAGCAATTTGGTACATAAGCGGGAACCTATGGGCCAAAGCCAAATCCCCACACCATGTCTTCCCAAAATCTGACATTTCTTCCTCTTTGAACCTTAACCCGAATCAGTTTAGAAAATTCATCCCAACCTCTACGGATAAGTTTCCACGAGCCCAAACCCGCTGGAAATCTAACCTCCCTAAACTGCCACCCACCGATACCCTCCTTGTAACGACAAACGATGACACGCCTCAAAAGCTTGGACCTCTCTCTCCAAAGCCTCCACAACCACTTTCCCAACAGTGCCTTATTAAACACATCCAGCCTTCGAATGCCCAATCCCCCCATTTTACTAGGGGAGCACACTTTCCTCTAGTCAACCAAGTGAAACTTGAACTCATCTCCTAAATCGCCCCACAAGAACTTCTTTTGAAAAACATCAAGTCTTCTAACAAACTGTCTTAGGTATCGGGAAAAGCGACAAAATATGTCGGAAGGCTTGAGAGTGTGCCATAAGAGTAACCCTCCCCCCTTTTGACAAGTATTGCTTCTTCCACCCTGAAAGCCTCTGCTCAAATCTCTCTACAATCGGATCCCACACAAAAATTCTCATCGACGATGCTCCCATAGAAAGTCCCAACTAGGAGATCAGAAAAGAGCCAACACCACATCCCAGTGTATCAGCTAGAACTTGAATATCTTCCACCACCCCAACTGGGACAATCTCACTTTTTCCAATATTTATCTTCAAACCATAAACAACTTGGAAACAAGCTAACACGCATCTTAAATACATTAGCTAACGAAGATTAGCATCACAGAAAACAATTGTATCATCCGTAAAAAGCAGGTGGGAAATGACAAGCTGATTGGGGGCTCTACCCACTGAGAATCCTGAATAAACCCAAGTTCCCCCGCCTCACCCATCAACCGACTAAAAGCCTCCATCACAATAATAAACAAGAAAGGGAAGAGAGGGTCCTCCTGCCTCAATCCTTGAGAAGTAGCAAAGAAACTAGCCGGATATCCATTCACTAAAATAGAGAACCGTGCTGTTGCAATACAAAAAAAAAAATCCACTCCCTCCACTTTTGACCAAAGCCCATTCTCCTCTTCATATGCATCAAAAAATCCCAGCAAACATGGTCATAAGCCTTTTCAATATCCAATTTGCACACCACACCCGGAATTCCACTCCTCACCCTAGCCTCAATACATTCACTGGCGATCAATACAGAATCCAGAATTTGACGGCCTCCAACAAAAGCATTCTGAGAATCCGAGATTACCCCATCAAGCACTCTCCTAAGGCTAACACTTTCGCAATTATTTTATACCCAGCCCCAACAAGGCTAATGAGTCTGAAATCCTAAGCCTCAATAGCTCCACTCTTTTTTGGGACCAGAGTAATAAGGGAAGCATTGAGACTCTTCTCAAATGATCCATGCAGGAAAAAGTAACCAATAGGCAATAGCCCCCATCACCTCAACCTTCACCAACTCCCAATTATGCTGAAAGAAAGCTAAAGAAAAACCACCCGGTCCAGGGGCTTTACCCCCATCACAGCTCCTCAAAGCTGCCAACACCTCCTCCCCAAACAGCATCTCAAGCAAGTTCCTAACACCATCCGAGATAACCGCAAACTCCAGCCCATCAAGCAAAGGCCTCCACGAAGCATTCTCCTCAAAGAGCTGCTTGAAAAAAGACCCAAACCCATTTCAGATGTCATCATCTGCAGTTACCGTAACCCCATTAAGTTGAATCTTCCCAATGTGATTACCTCTTCTATGAGCATTAGCTATACGGTGAAAAAACTTCGTGTTTCGATCACCTTCCTTAAGCCAAAGGGATCTAGACTTCTGTCTCAAAGATATTTCCTCCACCTCCACAATCTCTCCAAACTCAACCTTACACTCCTCCCTTCTGCTCACCTCCCTGCTACTAAGCCCTTCCTCACCCTCCTTCCTATCTAGAACTGAGATTTCCTGGAGGATTCTGTTCTTTCTCTATACAAGGTTACCAAACACTTCTTTGTTCCAAGTCTTAATATTGCGCTTCAAAAACCTTAATTTGGAAACTCAGACTCCCCTAACCTCATAGCCTGTCAACCAAATCTGAACCCTATCTTTGAAATCAACATCATGGAGCCACACATTTTCAAACCGGAAAGGCGATCTCCCTCTCCTCACCCCTCCACAATCAAGAAGAATCAGAATATGGTCCGAAATAGACCGGGCCAAAGCCACCTAAGACATATCAGGGAATTTCTCCTCCAAATCCCCCGACACCAAGAATCTGTTCAGCTGTGACAATGTAGGTGAATCCCCACTAGACCACGTGAAGTGGCCTCCTTCCATCGGAAGATTAATAAGGTGGTCTTTCAATCCCCGAACATTCCAAGACACAGTCTTGAGCTTCATAGATACACAATATCCCCCCCCCCCCTCTTCATAGACTTCACCATCGCCCACTCATCCTCAATCACTTGAAACATATCATGAGTTCTCTCCTCCTCCCCAGCATATGATAATCCCAACAAACCACTTACCCCACCTATACTTTCCATAAACCAATCATCCTTACTGTCTTCCAAGTTAGCAGCCCTTTGCACGTCTCTAATAATTGCCAATGGTGTATCTATTCCAACTGTATCCCCAATCTCCCAAACTGGTGGTGGAATGGCCAATACAGAGGAACCATCTATCACAGCCAAAGAGAGCAGAGCCCCTCTATGCAGATCCCAGCCATCAGAAGTACACATATCACTACCCTGTTCAGAACTCCCAGCAGTCAGCAAACACGACTCAACAGCGTCCCATCCCAATGCAGCTTCAAATCAGCTCTTAACGCCTCAGTCGTCCCCCCCATCGATCAATAACTGAGTTCCTCGCCCAACACACAGCACAACACTGCCGTCGTCCTTCCAACTTGGGAGGAGCATAGCAGACAGTCCTTGATCTTCAAACAGCACTTCTCAGAGCCTAACATCGTCCCTGTAAATTCTATGGAAACAGACGCTTCACCATCATCCTCAAACTGGGGACAGCCTATGAGCCCCCATACACAATTCCCCATCCACCAAACCATCATCCCTCCTTAACACCCCACAAGGAGTAGAAGCAGAAGAAGGGGTAGAGAAGGAAAAGAGATTTGGCGAGAGAACAAAGCACTTACCCGGTTTTAGCTCCACTGGTGGACTTTACCCACTTTCGCTTTTGCTTCTGAGATCATCTTTGCCCTTTTGCACTAACTTGTGCGTTGCTCGGGATCTGATTCAGATAGTCGTGAAAGCTTGAATCAATACCCATTAATCTCGGTCTCGCATACGTCATCTCCTCAACTCCTCCAGATGAACCGACTTCCTCACCTACTAAAGCAGACCCAACTTGAAGAGGTTCAAATGCATTATGAAGTCCAAGCCCAAACGATTGACCCTTGAACAGCCCAACAAACTGCCTAGACCCTAAATAGTTCACATTAGTCTTCCTTTGTGTGTGGAAAGGATGGGCCTTAGCCTTCCTCTCTGTCCCTGAAACATTATGTCTCAGCTCATGGACTATCTGGCCCGATCTGCTTCGACCAAAACTTCTTCACCCAGTAACATTTTGCCCAACCTACCTCGACCATTACTTTTCGTATGTCCGTTATGGGTCCAAACTGCATTTGGCCAAACCCTTTTATCCCCTTCCCCAATAGGCTTGTGAAACCGCCCACTAGGCCCAGCCCACGAGTGTGATCCACCCCACTCCCCTTTACGTGGTCTGTCACGTGCCCTCTCTTTGAAATTCAAACCCTTTATCTTATCCAGATAAGTGCAATCCTTGGAATCCCTTGCATGCCAAGCACATGTCCCTTCTTCCCACCTCCTCTCTGCAACCTCAGCCATTCATCTTCCAGAAGAAAAGTACTCTCATCCCTTCTGTCAAGTCCCTCATTAGTTGGGACAATCTCTGGATACCTCTCAGATACACCCTTTAACAAAGTCGTTCGTCGTTCACAAGAATCCACTGCGGGACAACGCCACCAGCATCGACATAGATGATGACCTTGCTCGCATCCTTCCTTTCGTCTACTTCAACCTTTCTGAAACCCCCACAAGTGTTTCCAATAGCTTCAAAGAAACCATAAGACCACAAATGCAGTGGTAAGGCAAACACCATCACTCTTCACCTTCTTTTCCTTGAGATTACCACAACACCCCACATGAAAGGACCACACATCCAAAAGTAATTCAGCCTCTCCCCAAGTCCATTTACCTTCCCTCAAAACCCTAATCGCCTCAGCATGCGACGGTAGTCTGACCAGCAAAAGGGAGTCCGGCAACGGGGAAACCATCACACTAGTAGAAATTTTCCAAGCCCCAGTCTTCAATCCTCACACAATCCCCCACATCACGATCAAACCTTCCCACCAGAAAACTTTGAATGACATCTCTTCTTTTCCAAATGCTTTGATCATCCAAAAATAAGTCAACACCCCTTTTTGACACCTTCGTCTCCACAACACCATGCTTTGGGAGATTTGGGATCGTCCTCGCCACCTCAACATATGATCGATTCCCAGATCCCTCGTACAGGGCAGATCTAGCTCTCATTAGGAGGTAACTATCATTGCCGATGCAAATGTAGTAAAAAGGTTTCAGTTTTCACAATTTTTGGTTTGTTTTCCTTTATTTATTCTGGATAAGCTTTCTAATTGAATTTGTGTACACAGACTCACAGTATTAAGGATTGAATTCCTAACTCACATCATATTGATTCTAAACTATTAACTTATGTTATAACTAATTCTAAATTCAGTCAACCTTTTTTTCTCCACAGATAAATCTAAATGCAGTTACTTTCCAAAAGAACATTGAGTTGAGTATAAATCCTTTTCCTAATTATCATATTAAGTGTAGAACCTCAAGAAAACCCAATCAAGCAGTAAGGATAACACATAGATGGGCTAGGCAAATACTAAATCAAATCAGACCTCTCAAGTTAAATAGGAACCCACAAGTTCACAAACCAATTTTCTATTTTCTATTTTCTATTTGTTGAGAGAGCTCAATAGTAATACTAATATTCTCAAGTTAAATAGGAACCCACAAGTTTGCAAGTTTAGAGAGCTCAATAGTAATACTAATATTTCCAATTTTTTTTTTTTTTTTAAAAATAATTCTTTGAATTTATCCTGATATCTTCTTAAACCTGCAGTTTTGAATCTATCTCGCATTTTACCAATAATTTCCGAATAAATTGCCAAACACCCAAAATATTACTAACTCCGGAATTTAGTACAAGAATTTCTCTCACAAGCACCAGCCCTAGTCGACAGCCATCAAAGCCCTAACCCCGCTGCATCGCCGTCAGGGAAATCCATCACCACACAACCGAAGCCCAATCAACATCACAAACCTAGCCAAACACTATTCTTTCAAGCCAACCGCGGCCCCATCGCGTAACCCTACCACCGATTATCCCCCACAATCCCCAAACCCTAATTTTCGAAACCCTCTGTCGTCGATCTCAAGGCCACAAATAAAAAAAAAATAAAAAAATAAAAACAGAGAAGAAGAAAAAAGTACCTCCTCAAAGTTTCGCCGTCACCGTCACCGTCACCGTCACTGCCATCTCCTTTCAATGCCTCCAGTCGCTCTGCCTCTCTGCGAATTTTTTTTTTTTTTTTTTGGTGAAAAGTCAAGCCATTAGATAGATCATAGATGTAACAAAAATGTACAATTCATATATAAAGTAATAGACAGCTAAACAGGGCATAAGCCAACCAAGTCGAAAGAAAACAAGTGAACGAGCCCAACAAAATAAGGATCAGATCCAACAAGAAACGGAGGACAAAGGAAGCCCACCAATCCATGAAACAACAATGCTCAGACAACCAAACAATGTCTTGCAGACCAAGCACTAGCGGGACCAATACTAATAGTAATTTATTAGGCAGTCTTCTTTCTAATTAGTTAATTTAGGTAATATGTATTTCCTTATTTTTTAGGATAATACTTGCATCCTGCGAGGGGGACGAAGTTCATCCTCCTTGCTGACGTGGCCCTCTAATATTCAGACATCTATCCAAAATTAAAAAATAATAAACTATGGGTAATGCCCATTTGTGCGGGTTAAACCCGATTCTCCAACACTCTCTCTTCTCTCTCTCTTTCTCTCCGTCAGGTGCTGGTTAAACCCACTTCTCTTCTCTCTTTCTCTTTGTCTCTTTCTCAGAAGACCCAATTATTCACGCCTCCCCCCGCCATCATCCTCAACTCTCTTAGCCCTTTCCTGGAACACCTTCGGCTTGTGTCCGGCAGCAAAGGCGGAGGTGGTTCTGTCGTGCGCCTTTACAGACTCTCCTGCTAATCCTAAACTCCCTAAAAAAGGTTTACCTATTTCTTCCATAAGACGCTTTTATGGATGATTTTATACAGGTTCTTTGAATTTGTGAGTTAAGAGGCTGAGTTTGGAAAAATCAATTTTGGGTTTGTGTTTAACCCTACTTTGAATCTGGGATTTTTGGAGCTACAAAGTGGCGGTTGTCGATGTCAAACTTGGTAGTGGGTGAGTGAAGGGAGAGAGTTTGAATCGGGTCTTTTAAATGCGAGAATTGTTTCATCTATTGATAAATTTGATGATATCGAAGGTGGAGAAACCGACCCAAATCTGATTTCGGCCCCAAATTTTGTTCTCAACCATGGCCGCCATTATACATACATACATACATACATACATATATATATATATATATATATATACATACATGTATATACCTTACAATAGAGAGAGAGATTGTGAGTGAAAGAATTTTAGTAAGGGACAAAGATGTATGCCTACTGTTTAGCTTCAATTTACTCATTAATGGACACACCATCACCATCTGTTTTGCTCTGGTTATAATATGAATTGGGTTGACTTTTTACATCATACTAGTTATATTAGAGACTCTGTTTGGTGTAGAGGCAAGCATTCATGTGTGGTAGCCATGAGCAGGAGTGTGGCAGCGGTGATGGATCCGGCGTTGGCGACGGCGGCTTGTGCACGTCGGCGATTGACAGAACAGCGGGCAAGATGGGTTGTGGATGAACTTCAGCAGTGCTCGGATGGGGGGCGAGATGACGACGGTGAGCTTTTGCAGCAGTAGGCGACGAGCTGTGGAGAGGACTCAGCTGCGATGGGGTGGTTGGCGGCGTGATGGCAGTGGCAAGCTTGCCTTCGGATGATGGTGGTGGCAGCACAGCCACCAATATTAGTGGTGGTAGTGGAGTTGTTGTTGGTGGCGTGACTGGTGTCATTTGAGCCCATTTGATTTTGAGGGCGGCGGGGGAGGGGGCGGGGGCGGGGGCGGAGGAGGAGGATTTGACGGTGGTGGTGTGGTAGTTGAGAGAGATGAGTTATAAGAGACAAAGAGGGAGAGACTAATTTAGAAGAACGGGTTTGACCCACACAAATGGGTATTACCCATGTTTTTATTGTTTTTTTATTTATGGACACTTGTTAGCATGGAGGGATGCCACATCAGCAAGGAGGATGAAACTCATCCTCCCCGCGCAGGATGCAAGTATTACTCTATTTTTTATGGACATTGTAATTTGGATAGATTATAGCTGTTTATGCACTTCGCACAAAAATAAATTTTTTACAATCACTATAGTAATAAGTAGGGTCGAACCACGCATTTAAATCAAAATATCTTCGATTGATCGAAGAAATCTTCGATCCATCCAAATTTTCAGCATTTTTGACCTTTTTTCTGGATTTTTCTGAAATCTTCTAGGAACTTTTGTTTGATTCCAAAAAGGTTGTAATAGACCATTTTTAACCCGTTTGAACCTTATTGACTTGAAATAGACAAAAATACAAATAAATACTAAAACAAGAAAATAAAGATAGATGAATGGACTAAAATACCCTCGCTTAGGTGCTAAAATGCGTCACATTTGAGCACTCATCAGTTTAATTATCCCATCCCACATAACATACCATAATGACGCAAGTCAAGGTCCAATAGATTGGCTAGAATTATATAGATCTACCAAATTCTATAACCACATGCTCACAATCCTAGCGTAAAATAACGCTAGTACTCCATGTTATTAAAAAAAACCGTAGTTGGCTAATAACATAACTTGTGTCCCCAAGTGAACCACATACTAAACATCCCGAATAGTTAACAAAAATAAAATACGTATGACACAATACCACAAAATATACTCTTACTTAGGACGTCGTTCTTTCTAGGGAAAATCTCCTCTGAAAACAAACTTACAAAATTGTTCCACACAATTTCCTTTTATAGTTTCATAGACAATCGTCCAACCTCGAAACATATCCTTTAAAGCATAACTTAAAAGCAACATATGTTTGCCTAAGCAAATACCAAGTGCCTAACCCTTATCCTCCTTATACACGGAATGTAAAATGTCTAACATGGCTTTATAAAGCAAATTAGAACATCAAAACATAATACCAATGCTCTCCTGAATGTGATATAAAAAATCATTGTTTCGTTCTGATAAAAACTCCATCCGATCCTAAACTCCAATTCTATTAATATCATTCGCTATAATACTAGCAAATAAGATCACCCTCGTGTGATCTTTCATCGTCAAGATTTAGTACCCTCTTTATTAGATACCCTGAAATCTCCTCCATTAGGATCCTCTTCGGGCTCCTCCTCTTCGTTTTTCTCCTTTTTTTTGAGAATAATTGAAATAGTGTAGGCTGCAAGATGCGGTGACCTATCACACACCTAAATCCTTCCTTAGCTTATACTTTAAAGTAACGCCAATCAGAACTAAACCTTCGATCCCTTCTGGTAGAATTAGGGATAACGTATTCTTTTACTTCTTCTGGTCTTTATCGCTTTTGCCTTAAACCCCATTCTCTTCCTAGTGTCAATCATTCCGTAACTACGAAATATAATTGACATTAGCTCCTCCTAATGAGCCGTAAATAAAGTACAACAAATCCTAATATGGGCTCTAAGTTTTAAGAGACGCAACGTGGAAGTCATATAACGAAAGACACTCCTAAGGACACTTGAACCTGGAGTGCTGTGACAACCCTAGTTTTTAAGCCAGCGCGTCCTGTGATGAACCGAACGTAGATCCGATAACGAATCCAAAATGCTGAAGCAAGAAACAAGACAATGGTCTCCCAAGGCACAACACACCTTTAATACACTTTGATGACCTTCCATGAGGTCGTGGAACTCAATGAGAACTGACGCGGAAGTAAAAGATCAAAAATATGACAAATAAACCCCTAGGGGCAAAATAATCATTTTACATGGAAATGAAGTCCCTAGAATGTATGTTATTCCCGAGACACATCTATGACTTCCCGTGATGTCACGGAACTTAAAAGAAAGTAGCGGAAGTGAATTACAAGAAAACCAGACAAAAATAGCCCCAAGGGCAAAATGGTTATTTCTGAAAAATATAAAATCGGGTGCTATCGAACACACCACTTGGAAGACAGCGAAAAATTAATCAAGTTAGACTCAAGAATCACTTGATTCGGAATCCGGATGGAAGAGAAAAGTCAAAACAAAGTTTCGACGTCGCCGCGGCTGTGAATAGTAACCTGGGCAAAATGCTAAAATCTGTGTGCCGTTTTGAGGTACTAAACGACATTTTCTGAAAAAACACGAAGAAGAAACCCCCTTAAAATAATTTCTACAAGCTGACCATGTCGAAAGAAAATTTTATTTTTGATGTGAAATCCTTAAAATGCCCTTACAACAGACTTTTTCAAATAGTGCAGATGCGCACAGGAAATCAAATTTGACGCGGGGTTTTCGGGTCCGAGATGACATTTTCTGGAAAAACACGAAGAAGAAACCTCCCCTAAAATAGAGTTTTCTACCCAACTTCGTGAAAGGAAACAAAAAAAACACACTACAAAATCCCCAAAATGTCCCTAGATCAGAACTGGAGAAGAGGGCAAAAGTTGCTATAGTAACTGTCCTGATCTGAGAGCAGAAACGGGTTATTTAACGAATTTTTCTGGAAAAACACGAAAAATAAACCCCTCCCAAAATCAAATTTTATACCCAGCATAGGGAGGAAAAATGAAAAAAAAAACTCATTGTAAAATGCCCAAAATGGCCCTCCATGAAATCAGGTCATGGGGGTTAAAAAGTTGCAAAAAATACAAACTGAAAGCTGAACTTTGCGAGGGATTTCCGGTACCAAGATGACATTTTCTGGAAAAACACAAAGAAGAAACCCCCCCCCCCCCCCCCCCTCCCCCTAAAATCATGTTTTTCTAAGTGACCATGTGAAGACTGGAATTCATTTCTTGAAGAAAAACCCCAAAATACCCTAAAATCAGATTATGCAATAAAAATGTAAAATGAGTCCATAAGAGGCTCAAATCACCAAGGATGAGGTTTTTTTTAAAAACAATTATGCACACAAATATAACTTACCCATTAGGACGTGCTACAATGGTCCACAGCTTAAAAATATCGCCAATGCAAAATTCGACCCCCCCTACGGCAAAAAAGGCAAAAATGAACTAGAAATGGGAAATTTGAAAACTAAAATTAACAAATGATTTCAAATTACTGTTTAGCCCTTGGCCACACTTCATGCATATTAAATAAGTCCTAATGAATATGCTCGTGCACACTTTGTATCACTCGATTTGAAAATGAACCCTTAAAGGCTCGAAGTTTACTATTTTAGCTCAAAATGCAAAGTATGGAACTAAAATGCAAAAATGAAAACAAAATGGTGATTGGCCCTTGGCCACACCTTATACA